CTGCAACCTGAAGAGCTTTTGTAATTTCCACAATTGCAGACCAAACTAGGCATTATTTTGTGCAATCTTGAAAATGTGAACTTTTCGGATTAAGGATGCTTTAATTGTATGCTTGTTTGGGGCTGGAGTCAGGATGGAGAGAATTAGGACTGGACGAATCAGCTCGACGATGCGTCTTTTGTACCATGCCAGTGTCCACAGAGACGATGCAATTTCAGCTGTTGTCGACAGGTCTGGGTGTTGTCAAGGGCTACCTTTTGTCAGATCTGCCACAGACAAGAATTGAGGCAACCTCTTGAGAATATCGTCAGATCGAACGCTTATTCGGTGCTTCGACGATGGGATGTTGGCCCTATCGGCCAGATCAATCTTCGTCATCAAAGCGTCCGAGTGACGCCGCGGCCAGTTCATGTGTGGCAGAGAGAGCAAGTTGGCGAGGTTCGGCAACGGCGTGACAGAGCGAAAGATACCAAACGATCGGTTCTCTTCTGTGAAACCGTCATTTTCCGACGGCTGATTGTCGTCTGGTACATGATCGTATTCAAAATTACGATCACCTTTTCCGCTAAACTGAAATGTGAGGTTGGGAAGAGTGGCTCTGTGAATCACAAGCCGTTCTGGAGTCCGATTTTCCCATCGGCCAATTGGCTTTGCGTCAAATCGTCCAAGTTGGCTTTCATCAAAGCTGGACGACTCTCTGTCCGAGCCAAGTGAATGGGATCGTTTTACGGATGGGCAAGAGAGGATGATGTGATTTGACCCAAATGATGGAGCCACACTTAGAAGTGTGATTGGTAGCATCGCAGACATCCGAGTTAATGCGGATGGGAGCAAATGCACAAATGACAGATTACCGAGTGCCTGGACCAATTGACGATTTATGGAAAGAGCAAATGAAGCAATTAAATTTCAACTCTGAAATAAGGCACATCGAGTTGGCTGACAAGAAAGCAGAATCCAGTAAGGTCGGAAGACAAAATGGTACTATGTTGTGCTACAGATTGGTGGATAGAAATGTGGGCTCAACTTAGAGTAAGCATTAGTTGTGTATGGTACCAATTTATGCGATTAGCCGAAATGATGAGGCCAAGCTTGATGATTCATTATTTACCACGAAAATATAGAGGTTTACGTAAGCGGATGAAAAGAGTAAATTTAGGTTGGGTGAGATAGCACAAGGAGTTAGTATATTATACCATCGCTGTGTATGATTGCATATCCATCATGAAAATGCGCAAGCATACAGGCAAAAAAGTGGCAATGCGGTGTACCACATGTGCAGTGAAGCCGCAAGGGAATCCGAGGGAAATTTCAAGGAATTGTTGAGGAAAAATCGCATTTTAGTAAACAAATAGAGGGAGTCCGATAGTTTTAATGCCCATTACGGAAAATTAATAACGACTATTAATACAATTCACATCATATCACTTCTGTAGACGGGTATGAAGACTATTAATTGACAAATCATAGTGTCCAGCAGACTGAACTCTTCATGGAAATAGAGTCCCAGTCTGTATCTGCCATCAATTCGATGGCATCCGTCATTTGGACGAGGTAGAGATCAAGCTCTCCGAATGAGGCCTATCAAATGTTGGTCTGCAAAAAGGAGAAGAAGAAGAGCAGGCCACCCAATTGGCTCTTCTTGCACGGAAGATGCACACAAGGCATGGCAACAGTCCATTGTATACGAAATAAACAACCAATCTTAACCCATGAGCATATCATTAAAATATTAAAGGAGAACCCTTGTGTTGTTGGGATGCACAGCATAGTAAAAAGAAGTTCATCAATTTCTATTAATGCATTAATTAATTATTATTAAGTATTCTCTACAATTTAACGATAAATTCTTTTTTAGCGTATATAACTGCAAGAGCCCAGTGATAATGAATATATATTTAAGACAGAACCGAAATATGCGGAACAGCTCAAAATTGGTAAAATGTGGCATCTTTCCAGAATGATGAACCTTTGATCATTCATCTAATCAGGGCGCAGTCAATTTTTTTTCATAAGCATCCTAAAACCTTGCCTAATCTGCTAAAATTACGGTAACAATCGGTACGAAACATGCAAGGTTGATTGCTGTCAGAGAATTGTGAGACTGTCTAGAGTCGGAAATAATTAAGCAACCCATATTTCAGCATGATAAAGAAGTCATACTGAAAGCGGAAATCACATCCAAGCATCTGCTGGCCTTATTGAGCATCCTTTTTGGACTGACGAATGAGTCCAGTTAAAGAAAGTAGTAAATAAAGAGGCAAAGCCATTCAAAATTATCATTACAGGATCCTCAAAGAAGTTGAATTTTTCGAAACTGTTGAAGAGACTCAGTCGGCAATCTGGATGTCTCGAAGCAGATTAAGCAACTATGATTGTTATCGATGAACATGACATAATTCATATGTTCCTTATCCCAACGTTATGATAGTGTTTGTGAGAATTATGCTTTGTATATGTTTACTCCTAGCCTGTAAATGGACACAAAATATGGGTCTTGGAAGTTAGAATAAAGACAAAGATGAGATTACAAAAATGCTATACACAATTTGCCTGAACGGAAGGATGCTGCTCCTAAACGAATTTAATTGCTGATTTCTGAGTCAGAAGTTGAGTAAACAGTTGCAGCCAATTTGACTATTGCAAAAGAAATCCTGTATTTAATTACGGTTAAAAAATTTCTGCTCCCAAAAGACTTTGCAATTAGAATTGTGATAATAACATTTTCACGAATCAGCCAACCTCACGCAAGATAACTAAAGAAAGTAGACACAATTTGCATTAGTTGAAGACAGAATGAATCCGAAGTCTACCCAAAGTTTCGCCGTGAAATGACTTTTCTCCTCCTTTGAGAGCTCATTCAC